CTCTCTTATCGCCGTATTATTTCGCCAACTACATGAATATCCAGAAAGAAAAAAGCGATTAAAGTACCTGGCATTCGTCTTAAGGTATCCCAGTGCCTTCTGAGTATGCCGAAAGCTTAGAGAGTTGGATAAAGGAAAGATGTTTGCAAAAGATCTCGGTCATCGGGGTTGACCCCGCAAGCATACCAGCCGAGAAGTTCAGTCCAAAATGCTTGCCTCCTGTGGAAGTGTCGAACTTGCTGAGTTACCTCGTTCTTGAGACCAGCTTCTACACCAAGAAGCAGTTCAAGGCGTTCAAGAGTCTGGAGGCGTTTAACCAAATGGTGTCGGGATTTGTAACCTCAGTTGTAGGCAAAGTAATCGCCGGCAAGTATGTCGTGAGAGCACGAGAGATTTTACAATTGCAAAGTTTGCATTTATGTCACTCTATAGAGACAAATGAAATTTAGCAAAAATGTCTCTTTGTATATGTTACAGAAGCAAAGGACTTTGCAGTTAGTTAACTGCGAAATGTTTGTCTACACATATAAGGAAATCAGTTAACTTTGCGATTAATTAACTGCAAAATATTCGTCTCAATATATTAGGGCATCAGTGACTTCGCCATTAATTAAGTGCGAAATGTTCGTCTACATACATTAGGAAATCAGGTACTTCGTGATTACTTAACTGCGAAATGTTCGTCTACACATATAAGGAAATCAGGTACTTCGCGATTAATTAACTGCAAAATATTCGTCTCAATATATTAGGGCATCAGTGACTTCGCCATTAATTAAGTGCGAAATGTTCGTCTACATACATTAGGAAATCAGGTACTTCGTGATTACTTAACTGCGAAATGTTCGTCTACACATATAAGGAAATCAGGTACTTCGCGATTAATTAACTGCAAAATATTCGTCTCAATATATTAGGGCATCAGTGACTTCGCCATTAATTAACTGCGAAATGTTCGTCTACATACATTAGGAAATCAGGTACTTCGCGACTACTAACTGCAAAATATTCGTCTCAATATATCAGGGCATCAGTAACTTCGCGATTAATTAAATGCGAAATGTTCGTCTACATATATAAGGAAATCAGGTACTTCGCNAAATTATTATACGAAAAAATCCTTAGCCTTTATGCTTTCCACTTTTGCTCGAACAGCCAACAACAATGCTTAAAACCATCCCTTCTTTCTGAAATGGACTCTTCGTTAGGTACGGTTTGTTTACGCTCGAGGGACACCAAGATGGCGGATAGTAACCGTTGCTAACCTATTCAATTTACTTTGGAATGGCTTTCATTTTTTCGAAATATTTTTCAAACAAACTTTATCTTTGTATACTTCCGTTTGCAAGCTAAAATTTGGTTAGAAGTAAAAATGTAATTTGAGATTATCGTTAACCTGCCAAGAGCGCAGGGTGCCTTTTCACTCATCAGCTTCTTTTCTAAAAATAACCGACACAACAATTATGGGAAACTGTGGCGGGTTCTGGAATAGCGACAACATGCTTTCTGCTAAGTCAACAACCCCAAAATTATAGAGTCCTGCCCAAAAATGAAAACTAAATGAAATCTTTGTTCCCTTCTCATCAACTGACAATGCCACAAAAGTGCAAATGTGTGGATCTTTGGCCTGTGTGGTAGGTGTGATGCTTAAAAAGGACGGCAGAAAAATACAATAATGGTGCATAAATTTCGTGGCCTCGCCTCTATTTACTCCCGAACCCGCCTACTACGCGGAATCCACGACGGTTTCTTTTTGCTATGTCAACAACACGAAAACTATAGAGTTAGTTTGTCGCGTTCGAATACCAAATCTATGATACGTTTTTTTTTTTGTTTAAAAATGTGGATCTTTTGGCTTGAAGAGATCAATCAGCTTAGCCGTAAAAGCGATGACTGCGATAACAATGACTGTATAAATTTGAGCTTTCATATCATAGTTCCGCCTCCACTTTCTCCCCCAACCCCGCCTACTACGCGGGATCCGAGACGGAATCTTTTTGCGGCGCTTTTGATCAGGAACATTTAGTCGTTTACAAACAGGTTTGCGCATGCTCAAAGTGTCAAGAGGAATAAGAGATGTGAATTATAGAGGGCTGCGTAATTATAATTACTTGAATTCGATCCTAAAAAAATAGCTAGATTCTTGTGGTGTTGTCAAGTTGTTGAGAGAGTCCCTTTAATTATTTCTGGCGAAATTTCACTTGAGGCCGTCGCGTGGTTACTGGATAAACATGTCCTCTATACCTCACAGAAGATGTTGCTCTTCCATCATATTATGGAACCCCTAGATGTTTCTGAAGAGGTTTCCGAGACGCTCTGTGACGGATTCTAATCGGTTTTCTTTTGTTAATTTGTAAATGATATCGTGTGATACCCTCAACGTCGTCGGATATTTCCGAACAGGAAAAACCTGACAAAAATTTCCTCGTTTTCTCAGAAAATGTATGGGATCCCTCACGTAAAGGTGTCGTGCGAATCGTTCAAACTAGGAATTGTAAACTTTGTTAAAACATAAGCAACCAAACGATTACGACAAAATTTTTTAGCACGCTTTGAGAATAGGTGTCTGTGTAAAGCAATTCTCTGGGCAGCTGGTTTTCTTTCTCACGAAACGCCTTTTAACCTTTTAAACAGCGCGCTTAGGTATGTCTTTCAAAGAGACGTCCGCGAATTAAAGTGAAACCCTACCATGTACCTCAGATCGTTTCAGTGTTAGGAATAAATCAGGCACCTTTCCTCCTTCTAATTTCACCAAAATTTCCCTTATTGTTGTTGTTGTTGTTTTATCTTTTTAACAGCATTCTTTCCAAATTCAACTATCATGAATTCCAAGCCCTTATTGTCAAATATGATTGCTATTGTACTTGACTTCGATTGACTCCTAGTCCCATATAAGTAAAGCAATCCTCTCACTCCTTAACCCTTTAAACCGACTTCGGAATGCGATCGAAGACAGAAATTCTCCTTACCGTATCAATACAATACCAAGCAGACAAGCGATGAGAATAAAGAAAAATGTCAATTACGGGATTTTTAGTTCAACCAATGTTAAATTCTCCAAATCACCATCAAAAGAATTGTATGACGAACAGTGAGAGGAGAGTTACGAATGAAAACTGAATTTAAAGTGAAAGGGTTAACGAACAAGCGTGTGATAATTGAGATATTTGAGAGAGTGAGAATGTTCGTAAATCTGCTCTCGTCTAAGTTTCGCCAGTGTACGTGACAGCACCGTATGACTGTGAGGAAACATCCTGCCGAACAAACGTAACTTTTTTTATTTTTGTGTTTTTATTTTTATTTTTTTTATTTTTAAGCGAGCGGGAAAAACATGAAGCGATTATAAGGAGCCTGTAAGGGACGTGCAAGAGAGAATTTGACTCCGCTTGCCAAAAAAACGCTTGCTTTTCCAGCTAGAAGGACATGACAGCGGCCTCATTCAAACTGTTTCTTTAGTTCTCCGTGTAGCGCGAGATCAACTAATGGCTGCGAACTGAAGGAGGCTGAGAGGGAGAAGAGCTGGGCCCAGTTGTTCGAAGACCGATTAGCGCTAACCCAGGGTTAAATTTTAATCCAGGTTTCTATATTTCTCTGTTCAAAAGCCGTTTTAACATAATTTTCCCAATTCTTCTCAGAGCATTCAATCACCAACTTGTAAACAAATGGAATTAAAGTGAAATTAACTTTAAAGCTTTCAGATCTTCGATTAAATCTATTAACCCACCTTTGAACAACCTGGCCCAGCTGAACTCTAAGAAGGAACTGAAAAAAAGCAAGATCGCTATCGTAATGCGACAATGTATGTGTAACACGCAGCCCTGTAAAATTTCTCTTAATCGAATGCTGTTTTAGCTATGCGATCCGAAGTGAATAGCGGAGAAAAGCTTTTTCATCTTCTTTTAACGCCGAGGTTTAGCCCTTACAATGTGCCAGTGTTGGGGAATATATCGAGCGACTGTGCAGCATTTTCAAAAGGACTTCGATAAATTTGAAGCTGTTATTTCAATTTTCATTCGCTTAAATCAGTTCTGGTCAACAAGGACTAAAGAGGTCTTGAACAAACCTCATGGAATAAGTTCATGTTTTGCACTTTCAAGCCGTAGCATTATGTCATAATTGAAACCGTTTCATTCGAGCGGCATCTCGCTTTGAGGGTCAAATGTGTAGGTGTGTTGGTATCCTAATGAGAGGAGAAAGATTATTGGAGGACTACGGTAAAAGACATCAGAATATCTCGGTATTCTTTCAATAGTATCCAAGTTAGAGATTTGAAAGACTACTTTTTTTGCCTCAAGTGAAGCGTCTTTCAGTGATGCCAAAATGAGTCACAGAGTTAGAGGAGCTATTCCAAGTTTTATATATCAGGAAAACCTTAGCTAAAATATTATACACTGTGACTTTCATTTAGAGTCCGGGTTTATTTTCTCCAGTATAACTAATGCTTCTTCCTTTTGGTCTCTTTGCCTCTTTCGTGTTTGTTTAATTGATATTAAACGGTTTCTGTCTTTAAAGGTTGAAAATTTTCAACGATTTTAATAATCACCCCAGAATTCGTGAGGTCGCTCCTTTACAAAGTCACGGTGGTAACTCGGACGCCTTCCAAGTCAGCGCTCGTCACTTTCTTCAACCATTTCCCACTACACGAACAAGCCATCTAAACACGTGCCAATCCGCCCCTTCATGTGACTTAAAATTGATCTCCGCCTTGATGAATGAGCATACAAAGAAAATTGAACCCAAGTAATAAACAGCATCCTAAAATCTAATAAAGATCACTCGTTTATCCACAACCTCTTTTGTTCCAGTATTCACTGAAGTTCCTCTTTGTAGATATACGTGCTTCTTGAGGTAGACATTGCGTCAAAAGCCAGACAAAAATCACAACTATTATCGCAGCTACTGTATTTATTTCAAGGGAATTGTTTTAATAGAAGATCTCACAGTGGGGCATCATTCCTCATAAAAAAAAATTGTTAAAAGCTGTACAGTGTAGGATTTCAGTCAATAGTGCAGGCAGACGTTGCAATTTAGTTGCATGATAAAGGCTGCATCCCGACTGAAGTTTCATCAGTTGACAGGGTTGAGCCAGAAAAGGGAGTTCGTTTGAGCTTCGCGAAACTCTTCTCAAATAAAGCAGGAATTTAGCACGTGGCAGTAAAAAGGTACGTTCACGAAATACTTGCTAATGCAGGGTGATGTTTTCCATTTTAAAGTTAGTACTCCTTGGTTAAAACTACTTCAGTTAAAGGCTTTCGTAGAAAAAAAAAAAGGAGAGAGGAGAGAGAGAGAGAGAGAGAGAGAGAGAGAGAGAGAGTAGAGAGAAGCGGAGAGGAAGAGAGAGAGATAAAAGCTTGTTCTTTATCTGTACCATTGCGAGTGAAATCTCTTGTGTAAGTGCAGATCTTTAGGAGCCTGTCAAACTGTTAAATTCGGTAGCCTGAGATAATTTTTGTTATACGCATATCAAGCCTTGGAAGAAATCGAATTATGTTGGAGTTCCTGTGACAAAGAGTAATGAGTATTGAAAAAAGACCAAAAAACGAACGAGAAGTCATTGATATAGTATGGAGTTTGTATTTATTTACTCCAACAGAAACTAAGTTGGTGATCTGTTGGTTTCAATCGGTCTCCTTAGGAATAGAGAAAAGACAAGTGAAGATTTTCAGCATATTTTTTCTTCCTAACGCGTAGTCGTTTTCGCACCTTTGATAGTGGTGTAATTATTTATCATCAAGGATTTGAATACAGCATCAAAAGATTTCGTTTTCGATTACTTCTTCGATTCTGTATTGAACAAAACGCATCACATCGCGTGAAAATTTGATTAGAAAATTAAAGCGAAGAAAGAATGAAATAATGCAATTTCCTGTCATATTTTTAGTTCTCAATTAGCCCCTTCATTCAATTTTTTTTTTTTCTGTTTTCAACCTACTCACCACAAATAAGTCTTCCATGCCTTTCTATAACATTTAAGCCGTCTTATGGTCAAGAGCTTCCTAAAATATTTTTCTAGAATGATATGCCCGATATTTCATGCATTTGCACCATGGTTTAAGGTTTCGCAATCTCTTCCTAGTTTTCTTGCCCCCTCATTATCATATGACTAACACACGCTGAAATAAAAGATCTTTTTTCTCGGTGGAACTTCAACCGAGGAGCCCATGGGATATACGTTCACAGTCGGCCACATCAGGGCAGTTTCCCTGAGACCTAAAAAATTCACTGACTGTTCTGCACAAAAAAGCCTCTATGAACCATTGATTCTCATAAAGGTCAAATGTGAAGTATAAAATGTCATTTTCCACTCACGTCACAAGGCTGAGGGAAGAGCAGGGCGATGAAAACATCAAACATCTTGTTTCCTATCTTTTGCAAAATGAAAACTAATTAAATTTTTTTTCCCTTTAGATCATCTAAGAATGGATACGTTTCTTTTCAACGCCATTATGACCATCCTCTTAGCAGCAAGGCTCGGACATAGTTTTCCTATCTTATATCAGAAAGTTCCATCCACCTATGATGATAAAGAATGTCCTCCCGGATTCTTGCCTTGCGTTTCAGAAAACGAAGAGAAGGTTTCTAATCAGGTCGGTGGGACTCATTCGGGCGCACTCGCCACCAATGCAACAAGTGCGAGTTTAGTCGAGGTGTCTACTCCAACAGCATTACCCTCCAAAGCAACTGGACAGCAAAAGACACCCAAGGTCCCTTCTGGAGGAAATATGGAGGAAACAGGGGACTCAAAGACCAAGAGCCTGCAGCATGGTAGCCACGAATGTCCTCCAGGAATCTGGGTTTGTTGAGCTACGTGTGCAGTCATCGGACCTTTCCAACCAACCTTTTTGTAATCAGATGTTGCGGAATTTAAAGCGTGTTACGTGTTAGAGCAGGAAATCGAAGGACTTTATGTTATTTTGTTGCGTGTTGGTGGAAGTTTCTTTTGTCAAGTGCGAATTTTCGCAGCGAGAAGGTTTAGCTTTAGAATCTTTTCTTGAAAAGGGACACTTGCTCGTAAATATGTAGTGTTATGTGGTATTGCACGTATTTATAACTTCAATTTCTGTTCTGAGTTCTGCTTTCATTGAGTCACAGAAGTTGTGTTCGCGTGCAAACTTTTGGCATTTTTATTGGCGACATTCGTAGTGCGGCAATTAATAGTAGCTGGCAGTAGTATTTATTTTATTTATTTTTCGCAATCTTTCAGGGCTATTATAGTTGCGATTACGTTTCAACCAACTCCATTGCTGATTGGCATGTTTAACATACAATAGAGACGAGAGTTGAGAATTTCAGGGGGGGATAGGCGATATAGATTTACAGATCTTTAAGTAAAATGTAGGGGTGCAAGTTGCAAGGGGCGCTCGAGAAAATAGGCGCGCGAGCAATACTTTGTAGGAGAAACATTTATGGAGTGTCGTACATTTAGTATTTCTTCCAATAACAAAACAGGTTTAGTTTAGCGAAATAAAGTGACAATTGTCGAAGCACAGAGAAATTCAAAATCGAGAATTCGTAGTCGTAAAACAGGGACTTGATCGCTATAGTTATCTTCGGTAGTCTCTTAATAAATTTTCGATAAAAAATCATCTCCTCATTCTTCACTGATTCTGTAGCAAGTCCACAAGAGGACGAGTCGAGTTGATTATCGACGATTGCCTTGGCGCACGATGTCAATCGAAAACATTTCCCTATCTCTAACAGAAGCTGCTTGTCGAAGTACATCCCTTGCAATTCCATTCCAGGGGCAGACGGAAAACTGTCAAAATAAAACGCTCATCTCTTTTGGCCTGTGAATGCGAATGTAGAATCCCACAAAGAAGGCCACCCTCAAAGTCTATTTTGGTTTTATCCGGAAATTCCGACAATTTTCCACCAGATTAACCTGACTTAGACTGTTTCATCTGGTTTCCAAGGGAAATTCTGGTAATTTTTGTGTTCAGCGAGGCAAAAACATTAGGACTCAGTTTCAATATCGGTGGTCAAAATACGGAAATTAGTTTGATTCGAGATGTATTCAATCAACTCTTTGGCTTACAGTTAATTTTTAATAGTCACACAAATAAACTAAGCAAACATGGGTTAATTCTAAGTTTCGGCAAAGGTAAGTAAAGTTTCCAAGGCCTAGATAGACTTTGAAGTCACCAAAATTCCAAAACTCGGCAGTGAATACAGTTAAAATATAAAATATTGTTTGGGAGAGGTAACCCTTACAAGGTATAGCCTCAAATTTGCCGAGTGGAAAGCTGGACAATTATGTAAGCGCTGTGCTGGCAAAACCTCTCCATTGCATGTCTTTCTTAGCACAGAAAACTGGCATTAAAGAAAATCAGTCGAAAAAAAAAAAAAAAGAAGCAAGAGACAAGACATCCCATTTGAGGTCTAAAATCACAACAAGTTTTATAAGTAGATTTAACTCAACAATAACGGCATAATTAACAACTACAGGTCTCTCACCAAGACCTTCCAGGGCCAAGCGGTTACAATTTCACGGTAGGATCTGGGTACGAGAGCCAAGCAGACACTTGCTTGACTTCTTTGAACGAAAGATGGAAACCAGTTGACCTCTACGCATATTTCTTGGTTCTGTTGAAAATTTTAGAGCAGAGCATTTTTTTTTTTAAATTGATCTGTCGCTGTTCCTTGAATAATTATTGTGGTGCTCCTTATAACACGCAATGAGTAAGTCACGCGATGCTGAATGGAGATTTATTTCTTAAAACTTTTTATCTAAAACATTATTGTGAACAAAAAGCATTTTCTGTTCAACCCATAGCATGCAATCAGTAAATCGCACGAATTAAACAGGATAGCGTGATTTTCTCGTAGAGATTTATTTGTAATCCTCTAAAGACCTCATTTATGATCGGCTACGAAAGGAAATCTATTGCCGGAAGGATATCTGGGAAGATAAATATCAAGAAGCTGCATTTGCAGCCAACCTGGTGGTTGGCTGCAAAACCAATTTTGCTGATTGTTTAGTGTCCACGGAGAAACATATATAGACCTTACGTCAAGAGAAGGTGGCAATAAAAAGGGAATTATCTGAATGTTCAGTGGTTTTCCTTTCGAGGTTGTAAACTTTTATTTATTTATTTAAAAAAAAAATTTGAAGAGGGAGCCCAGCTCGCCATAGCGGTTTTCAGTGAGGCCACAATATTTAAATGAATCAACGGCTAGTTGATCACATTTACCTTTTAAGGATACTTTTCTTTCCCTTTTCAATACCTCGATTCCGAAAA